GCTTCAGTAAATTCGTTCCCTCAGAAACCATCATGATTTCAAGTAATTCCATGAATTAAAGCGCATGTGTGGTCTTGTTCTCAGTCGCGCGTGATATGCATACCGAGACATTTTCCTCATATATGCATGCTCATATATTATGCACGTGGATACAATTTATACACATATTCCGATGCTCATTGTATGCGAACTTCTGCCTGAAGTTTTACTTCCTGCTGAATAACGTGGCATAGTTATTGCCGACAACGTGCTATAACGACACGGCGCCGCCATCAACCCGTCCGCGTGGCCCAGATCTTACCAATTAGACTTCGAAATGAAAATTATGTATTTTGCTCAAGTTGGAGCTCGTTAAATATAAGACAAATACGAAGAATAATGAAGATCTTTGAACTAAAACATAAGATTATTTTTAAATTTATAATATATGACAAACAGATCTTTCTAACAATGAGTTCAATTTTGATGTAGTAAATGGAACTGCAACTGCAGGCCAAGAAATATGTATAAAATTCAAAATCTTCAAAAGATATTAGTTTGGAATTATGATGCTGATTAGTTTCCGCTAATGACTGGCCAAGCCGCTTCTTCGTAGTTAATGCTTTGAGATTAAAACTTTATTTTTAAATTATTCAAACCTTGAATGATAAATAGTTACTCAATTAAAAAAAGAGTGCGCGTAAGTTCCCTCAGAAACCATCATGATTTCTGTTCACACGCGATTGATATGAAAATTATTTGCTACTGTACAAGATGGCATTTAAATAAAAATAAATACATCATATAACAATTTTGAATAATGTTTATTAGAAATGTGGTAACACTCGCGGTGCACACATTTATAAGTGTCAACCATTATACAAATATATATAATGGTAAATTATAAATCATATATTTATAATAGCATTAAAATATGTATAATATTTAATAACAACTAGTTAATTAATTTTGAATTTTAATGGAAAACGGGATAAAAATATCCCAGCCAATTTTTGTTAAATCGGTCCAGCCGTTCGTGATAAGTGTTGTAACTAACACGATCCTTTATATATATATATATATATATATATATATATATATATATATATATATATATATATATATGGACATTTTCGAATTACGAATTTAAAAAAAATCCTCTATAAGTTTTAGCTCTTACTATTGTCTTTCAGAGAGTGCGCGATACAATCATAGTTTTGTATGAAAATTTTTCCATGGTATTTCCAAAAAAAAAACTTTGATTGAAATGCACACTATCTTAAAGACAATATTAAGAGCTAAAACTTATAGAAGATTTTTTTATCAATTAGGAAGCATTTGAGCCCTTAGTAGCAAAGAAATTCAAAAATGTCCATATTAAGGACCACCCTAATTATGTATGTATATATATATATATATATATATATATATATATATATGTGTGTGTATGTGTGTGTGTGTATAAAATTCTCCTGTGGTGGTGTATGAAAGAATAATCCACCTAAACTATTATTCGGATTTTGATATATCTTTCTGAAGTTTGTTATGAGTATTTTCTAGGATTTTTTGATTCATAGAGATATAGTTATATTGTAGATATAAATGAGAAAAGATACAAAAAATCGCTTATCATTGTTTAACTTTGAAAATATTTGAGGCATTGTTTAACATTAAAAACAAATTAAGACTGCCATTTCCCAAACATTTCAATTCACTTATGGGCTAGAACAATATTAAAATATAATATATTTATGATTATGAATAAGAAAAATATTATTTCTGAAGAACAGCTGAGATATGCCAAAAATTAAAATAATATAACATACTTTATATATTTGGCTCATGCGCCTGGGGCTGTGGATTGTAAGTGAATATACCCTTTATAATTAAATTGACAGATTATTATTTTTTAACTAATGCAGTCCTGTTTCGCCTTACCTTACTAAATTACAATACAAAAAATTACTTATTCAAAAAATGATTTAGAAATTTTATTGTGACAAAAATTCATATGTTTGGCAATTGATACGGAATATTTACATAAGCCAATGGAGCGTTTTGGATCCGATTTTTTTACTGTGCTCCAATTTGCATTAAATTTTGGAATTAGATTCATCTTACTCTCAAGTTCAAAAGTGAAAATAATTTAGACTCATTTGCCACTTTCCGGGTTGATGACATTTCTTCTCAGTGATGTAATTTTACTTTTTTTTCAAATAAACTCGGATATCGATAAAAAAACTAATCATAAGAGAAACATTTTCAATAATGATTTTCAAAAAAGCAAATACTTTTCAAGTTACTGGCTACTGAAATTTTTTTTTGCGTTTTTCATTGTTTTTTGCTAATATCTTTAAAAAATATGCCTTTTAACGAGAATCATGAAATTAAGAAAATTATATTAATCAAAATCTTAATAAATCGGTGTTTTATAAAGTGTTCTAGAAACAATATCAGGCTAGATATGAAAATGGGATTTTATTGTGCTCAAAATAAGCTTTAAAATGAGTACTTCTGCATGTAAAATGAGAGAGTTATCATGCAAAATAAAATACGCATACAATGTTTTCTTTTTCATTTAAATCAAATAGTTTGAGTCCAATTTCTACTAAATTTAAAAATAATCCTATTCCATCTAGAATTAACTTGGTTTAAGAAGTCTTGACGAATTCTAGAAAATACCACAACTTTCTTACAAACGATTTTCAAATAATCATGATTTTATTAAAAAAATCTATTAAAAAAAACACCCAATTTCTCATTATTATATATCTAAAAGAATAAAAAATATGTATAAAAGCATACTGATAAAACTTCAAGGTTTTTTTTGACTAATTATTGCTTATTATTATTTTTTATACAAATATTATATATTTTTACACAAATATTGATAGAGTTATGATTGTTTAAAGAGTGCGCGTCTCTCCAACCAGAGTGTCTTTCGAGCCTTTAACCCTTTGCCGTTAGAAAATAAGAGAAGGTACGGTAAAATTTATTATAGAGACAGTTGTAGCTCATTTAATCACCTTTAAAATAGTATGTTACAAATTTTGATAAAATCAGAATTAAAAGAGTTTTAATCCAATTAATGCGGAGGTGGTGACGGAGTGCAAATTGTTTTCACTTCTGAAATTAAGATTAGCCTATTTCCGCAAATTGGAGCACAGTAAAAAAATTCACAGGGTACACGTTTTTTTCCTCTCCATTTACTGCAACATAGGTTAAATAGAGCACATGTGAACAGGATTTGACAAATTAATTCACTTCAAATATGAACTTAAGTAATAATGTATATTGAATTATTAGTGAGAAAAATGTATTTTAGATATTAAAATTACTAAAATCCAGTTAAAATTTAGTACGAAATTATGAAAATTACAGGCAACATTATTGAAATGGGGATGCTATATATTAATTCATTCTTAATTTGTTATACTTTTTAAAAGACTTCAATTTTCTAAACGTGTAACTTATGCTATGATCATAAATCACAATGGTAAACTATGGTTTTTTGTTTGATAAATTTGGAAAATCAATGTTTTAGTCATGAATAAACAAAATGCCATTCATTTATACATTCACATCTTACATCATTTATACATATTGCTTAATATTTTTTTTTTATTTTCTTATAAATTACAATCTGTATAAATAGAAAGACATTGAGTAATTAATTTGACAAATAACATATTAAATTTTAAAAAGAAAACCCAGTGGTTCACCATCTATTAGTGTACTAAATTATATCTAAATTTTGTTATAATAAAGAAAAAAAAACTCAAATATACATACAATTATAAACAAAGTACTTTACACAGACTACATATACACATACTTACACATACCTATTTTAAATAATATGGTAGAACAACCTATTCTTGATTAATGTGTTGAATCTATTAATTGTATTCTTTTTAATCTTATATTATGTGTGGTGTTGTAAAGTTTTGCAATCAGTTCGTTTGGATGGTGGTCCATTTTAGTCTTGAAATTATGGGCACTCTTTTTAATTTCTTCACTGATTGTGAGTGTATCGGTGTCTTGGTGAATTAGCCATGTTGGTTCATACCTTGGCACGGATATTGCTTGTCTGAGTATTTTATTTTGAAATCGTTGCATTAATTGTAAGTTACTGGCTTTAGCAGCACCCCATAGATGGATGCCATACATCCAAACTGGTTTGAGAATAACTTTGTATAATAAAATTTTATTGTACGTCGACAGTTTCAATCTACTACTGAGGAGCCAATTCATCGACCTTCGAAGGTTTTCTAGATTTTCACGCTTTTTTTAAATATAGATTTTCCAGTTCAATTTCTTGTCCAGATGCATACCCAAATACCTTACGTAATCTCGGCTTGGAATTTGTTCGTTATAAATTGCGACATGTGGTCATGTATGTTTCCTAAGAGTAAACGTAATGTGGACAGATTTTGAATTATTAATTGTGAATCTCCATAAAGTAAACCATTTTTCAATTATATCAAGGTGTGACTGCAGCTGCGTTGAAACCGTAAGAGAATTTTGATTCCGGGTTATAATGCATGTGCCATCTGCGAATAAAGCCAGATTAGTATTGGTGAATTGTGGAAAATTAGCAGTGTATAGTAAAAACAACATAGGGCCTAGGACACTTTCTTGTGGAACTCCCGCGTTCACTTCTCTTAATTCCGACTGCGAGCCACTTATATCAACATAAAACTTTTGTTCACTAAGATATGATTGTAGTAGTGAGTAAATTGAATAAGGTAGATTTATTTTAATTTTATACAAAAAACCTGTGTGCCAGACTTTGTCAATCGCCTGAGACACGTCAAGAAATATTGCAGAACAGTACTCCTTGCAGTGTAAGGCAGCGTTGATGATGATAACAACTCGATGAACTTGCTGTAGGGTCGCATGCTTAGCCCGAAAACCAAATTGATAATTTGGAATTATATCATTGGAAATTATATGATCATTTATTTGACACAAAAGCAATTTTTCGAAAATTTTTGATATAATTGGCAATAAGCTGATAGGTCGATATGATGGTGCTAGATGCTGGTCTTTTCCAGGCTTCAGTATTAGTATGATTTTTGCAAGTTCCTATGCTGTGGGAAACTTGCAAATCCTCAGGATTGCATTAAAGACGATGGTAATAAATCTGAATACAATGACGGGCGATTCTTTTAGCATTTTCATTGATACTTTGTCATAGCCAGGAGATTTACCAGTTTTGGCTTTGTTGATTTCACGTTTTACTTCTGATAATGAAATTTTTATAATTGAATTTTTGTTTCGAGGTTCATTCTGTATATACTGGTCTATAAAATATTCAGCATCGTCTGTACAACTTTGAGGAACTGAATAAAAAGAATTAAATAGATGATCCGCAAAGATTTTTGATTTATCTATTGGGTTTCTAGCCCAGGATTGATCTGATTTTCTTATAGGTGGGATTTGTCTTATTGGATTTTTTATTTTTCTAGTCGCCTTCCATAATAAGTAATTGCTATCCTAATTTGAAGTAAGATTGTTTAAGTAATTATCGAATGACACATTTTTGTGTTGAAAAATTAGTGCCTTTAGGTCTCTGCAAGCTTTATTAAACCTTTTTTTATCTTCCGGTGAGCAGGTTAATTACCAAACTTTACGCAATTTTCTTTTAATTGCAATATTTTGTTTAATATTTATAGGACACAATGATTTTCGATTGCCTGCGAACTTGGGAGTAGAACTTTTATCCGCATCTTGAAATATATTGAAAGATTGCATTGTTGATATCATGTTCATGTTTAAGGGAAATGTTACAGTTCACTTTGCTTTCAATTATATTTCTAAAAGCAATCCAGTTTGTCAAGTAATTTGTTAGATGGTGATCACTTAAGCCAGACTTTAAAACTGTTGAATAATTGAATATTACTGGGGAGTGATCAGAAGTTAAATCCAGACATGATTCAATCCTCACTAAATCTTCATTAATATTTTTAACTACAAAAAAGTCTAAAAGGTCTGGTAATTTACTCAAATCACTTGGCCAATATATCTGTTCCCCAGTTGAAATAGAATTATAGTTATTTGAGTCGATTGATTTAAGAAGTTCATGACCACGTGGTGTAATTAACCTTGAGCCCCAAGAAGTTTTTTTGGGATTGTAATCACCTCATGCTATAAATTTATTACCCAAATTACTGAAAAAATCTGAGAATTGATTTTTTGAAATAATATGCTTCGGTGGATCGTAGAGAGCTGAAACTGTGACTGCGCACAATGTTAAGTCAATGCTAACACATGTTGCTTACAAATAATTTTCACAGATTGGTTCTAGCTCATAATGACGAATATTAGATCATATTATTATTGCCGATCCACCGTGTGCTGTTCCATCTGGGTGTTCAGAGCTATAGATAGTAAAGTTAGGTATTCTTAAATGACATTTTTCTTTTAAATGAGTTTCTGATATTAGTAGCACATCGATTTAATTGTATCGATTTAATTGTATAGAAAATATTTAAGTTCTTGTATGTGTTGATACAAGCCATCGGCGTTCCATAAACAAATTTTCAGTGATGTAGCCATTACTTATTTTTTGAAAGGATGGTTGTTAATAGATTGATGATTGTACTTATTTGTTCTGTTAATAATTTGATCATATGTTTTAGTTCTGAAATGCCGTTGTTATTGTTGTTGTTGTTGGTATTGTTGTTCGTTACATTGGCGTTATCCGTTGAAGTTTGATTTGTATTCGTATCTTGGCGAGTTGCGTAAGCGAAGCTCTTTCCTGGTTGCACTAAATTAAAATTATTTTCTTACCTTTGTGAAATTTTGTGACGAAAAACTGGAAATTTTCTTTCAAGTTGCTCTTGGTAGACTCTGCATCCTTTATAATTAGCTGGATGATTTCCGTCTGTTCATAAAACACATTTAACATTTTTATTAATTTTATCTTCCCAGGAACAATCTTTGGGTAAATGATTTGCTGCACACTTTACACATCTAGGCAATCTAAAACAATAGATTTTGGAATGTCCTAGACGTTGAAAGTTTGAACATTGTAGTATTTCTCGGGCTAAGTGTCTTGGCTCAATCTCACCATTGGTATTGTAAAGGAAATTAATTTTATAAAAGTTTTTATTGTTTGGCTTCTGCTCTATTGAAATCTATTGCCCTCCCAGTACGTGTGCTTGGAGTTGAAGTCGCCTCCAACAATAAATGGCGTTGAAAAATGACTCAAATTGGCTTTTCAGGATTGTGTGTCTGGGAGGGCAATAGATTGATGATATAGTTATAAATTTATGAAGAAATTGTACGGAAATGTTTATAGCCTGCAGAAAATGTTCACAAAAAGGTTCCATGATGTGGTGTTTTATATTTGATTCTATTATTATTGCTGTCCCACCGTGAGCTTTATCGTCAGGGTGATTTGTATTATAGATGGACTATTGAGGTATCGTTATATAACATCTGCTTGTGAAGTGTGTCTCTGATATGAGAAGTATATCTATGTTGTGTTGTATAATGAAATGTTTAACTTCTTTTAAGTGCTGTATTAAACTATTGGCGTTCCATATTCCAAATTTTGAAATTTGTGTCCATTATTTGTTATTGCGAAGAACGATTGTCAGAAGTTTGAGCATGATGCCTATTTGGTCTACTAAGGTCTTTATCATAGATTTTAATTCATGTATGTCATTTTGATAACTTACATTTGTTTGATTGATCTTTGTAGATGATTCATGTTCTTGAGGATTTTGATGATTATTTGCGTTTTGTTCGTTGTTAACTATTTGAGAAAAGGGAACATTTTGCCGTATTAGTGAGGGTCTGCTACTTGTAGTAGGTTGTTGTGCGATTTCTTTTGTCCTTAGTGGTGGGAATCGCCGATGTTTTTCTGCTTGATATATTGGGCACCGTTTATAATTAGCTGGATGGTTTGAATCGCACAATGCACATCTTACGTTACTGTTAATTGGGCCCTTCCATGAGCAATCTGAAGTGAGATGATTACCGGCACATTTTACGCAACGTGGATCTTTTGTACAATAGTTTCTCGTATGTCTTAGACATTGGCACCTGCTGCATTGAGGAACTTCTCGAGGATGGCGCATAGTTTCGATTATAACTTTTGTTTTATATAATAATTCAGTTGCATATATTTTATTATTATTTTTGTCTTGCTGCAGTTCAACAACGAATATGTTTAGCGGAAGTTTAGTAGTACGCTGTCTTAGGTTGTAAATTCGTATGACCTTATGCCCAAGATCTGAGATTTCTTTTGACAAGATTTCGATGTCAGTACTATGGTGAAGATTTTTGATTACAATTTTAAATGCCTTTTTTGTTTTTTCCTGGTATGAGTGAAGTTGAGTACCTTTGTCTTTCAATAATTTGAGGACAGTATTGTATGTGTGGGAATCCTTGGTATTAATTTTAACTTCCTTCAAACCAATGGTCTTGTATGAATAGACTTTCTGAACATTATTTTCTAGCAATTCTATTAGAGGTTTTATGTCATTGACCCCATGTACAAAAATCGGTGGCGGAGTTACAACTTTTTCTACTGGAGGCGCTGAAGTTGAAGGCTGTTCATCCATTTTGTTGTTTTCCGGACCTACCGATTGTAATACATTATAATAGTTATTGGTTGGTATCGGATCTAACCAATAATTTTTTGTGGTTGCCTTTTTTGTGACATTAGCGGTTTGTGCAGATTCATTTTGCTGTCTTTTTTTACTCATGGCCAGTTTCCACTCTTGATATTGCGCGTTGAAACGCATGTCCCTGAAAGTTACTGGATATGGTTTGTGCGATTGCAAATTATTGTCACTTGGAAACATTTCGATATCTTCTGACGTTTGCGAGGAAGTTCGCTGTTGATTCATTTGTAGTAGAATATGCGTTTCGACAAATTCTGCGTTAGTTGTAGAATCATCTTGTAGAATTTGTTGTGATTCAGTGATAAAATTTTCAGAAATATTATTCATGATTTAAGACTTTGAAAAATTAACTTGTTGAATGACACTTATTTGACACGATGAAAATAATAATTATAAATGTCACTGTGTTTATAAACAACGCCATGTCCCCCGCAATGGGGACACGTGATTGGCAGCAAACTACGCAATGCGGGCACTGTCGCAGGTACTGACACAGGTACAAAACACTATTGTTTACACTATTACTTGTTATATAAATGACTGGTATCGGCTGAGCGATGTGTATCGTTCGAAGTCTGAACGAAGACAAACACTGGACAAGAAACAATAACTTGATGTAAAAATGCATTCCATAGTCACCATTAAGTCAGAAATTCTTTTTTTTTCTTTTGAATCATTTTAGTTGTTCATGCTGAATGCATTACATCTTATAGAATCGATCTGTCAATGACTTCGATCGATTGTATAAATTTTAAATTTAAAAAATATAAATGAACAGGCAAATGGGTTTAGAACAATATCATTATTAACTTCCCGAAGGAGGAGTATATGTATTTTATGATGCTGTTTGGTAATTTGATTTAATAATTCATGTTTTCATATGTAATTATTAAACTTTTATTTTTATTTTGTCGATTTAGAAATTTTGGCAAAATGAAATATCAATCTTAAATACGAGTATTCTATAAAATGGTATTGTCATGTTGTTTTCATCCTCATTTTGTTTACATGATTTGCAGATTATTGAGATTGATTGTAGATTTATTTAATTATTATTCAAACAGATTAAGTAAGGTATAAAATATTTCAAATCTTCTTCATACATTAGGCAGTCTATATATATTTGTGCTATGTATAAATCTCCATTATCTTTTGCAATGCAATAATTTCAAAACAAATAAATGCCGAATCAAATTAAATATGATAAGATAGACAAAATTATCATTGCTGAATGGTTTTTGAAAATATTATGTGAAATTAGTTTATGACTAATCATAAATGCACTCATTGAAATTCTTTTACTTTATTAGCTGATATACATATTGTATCGTTTTTTGTATGGTGTCTTTTAAGCAGATCGAAAAAAACAAAAGAAATTTGTATAAAGTTATTATTCTGAAGAATATTTCTTATTTCGCATGTTTTGCGTTATTTCG